GGCAATTTTGCAAGAGTCTCAATGGAAAAAACATTAGGTATTCACCTTACAGTTCTGATTTAACTCCTTCTGATTTCTTTTTGTTTTCTAATTTTAAAAAAAATCTTTAAAAGGCACCCATTTTTCTTCGGTTAATAATGTTAAAAGGGCTGCATTGACATGGTTAAATCCCCAGGACCCTTAGTTTTTTAGGGATGATCTGAATGGCTAAAAAAAAATCTTTAAAAGGCACCCATTTTTCTTCGGTTAATAATGTTAAAAAGGCTGCATTGACATGGTTAAATCCCCAGGACCCTTAGTTTTTTAGGGATGATCTGAATGGCTGGTAGTACTTCAGAAAGTTCATGGGAAGATTTGCATTATCTTTTAAATCTGTTTATCCATGAACTTTGGAAGTACCCTAGTATCATCACTTAAAAAGTGTCTTGAATTTGATGAAGCTTATATTGAGAAATAAAGTTATATTTTTTATTTTTAATTCCATATTTATCCATGAACTTTGGAAGTACCCTAGTATCATCACTTAAAAAGGGTCTTGAATTTGATGAAGCTTATATTGAGAAATAAAGTTATATTTTTTATTTTTAATTCCATTTTTCCACAAAGATAGAAGTCCCTTTGTATCTTTGCATTCACCTCACTTTTTTATAACCCTTTTATCTTTCAGCTTTTTATGTTATCTCTTTCCCTATTTCTTTTCCTCTTTCTTTTCTATTCTCCTTTCTTATGTTTGAAATTGGGAAATTTTATTTAAAAAAGTACAGTAGACCAAAGGAAAACCAAGCAGAGGCTAAATGCATATAAGGAGTAGGTTTATTTCAATTTTTAAGAAGTTCAGAATTAGAAAATGTCCAGGTTAGCTGCTTTAAAAAAATAATAGTAATAGAAAAATATACATCCAAAGCCTGAGAGAAAGTTATTTACTTTTTATTTATAACCTTTCATTTTGTTGCTGTACTTCTTGCCTCTGATTGGTAATTTTATTGACATCTTACTCTTCCTTCTCTCCCTAGTTGCCTAATCACATTTTAATAATCCCTGGGGATCTCCTGACATTTGTACTTGGCAGGGCTTAGTTCTCATCTCTTCCATTTTTCTTGGTGTATGTGAAAGTATACGTACAGCCTGCCTTTCCTAACTGTGGGATTCGCATCCATGAATTCTGCATCCACAGATTCAACCAACCACAAGTCAAAAGTATTTGAAAATAAATAAATAAATAAATAACAACAATATGACAATAAAAATAATACAAATCAAAATACAATATAACAAGTACTTAAATAGCATTAACATTGTATTAGGTATTGTAAGTAATCTAGAGGTGATTTAAAGTATAAGGGAAGATATGCATAGATTATATACAAATACAGTGTCATTTATATAAGGGACTTGAACATCTGTCTTTTGATATCTGTCAAGGGTCATGGAACCAGTCCTCTGCAAATGACTTTACTTTGAAAATACATACTTAGAAAGTTCCTTTGGACTTTGAGATAGTTTGGTTGAATTGTTCAAAGCATATAATGGCAAGGATCTTAAAATTACAATAATTATATGAAGAACAGTTATGTGTGTGTGCATAATCTAAGGGGAATTTCATATAATGAGAATTGAAATATTTATTTTGAATTAGTCCTCAACTTTGTACTTACATATAAGTAAAGGGCCCAATACTTTTTCCCTATTAAAGTATAGCTTTATTTTCTATAAGCAGTAAGCATTTTCTCAGTGAAAAGATGCTTATTGGAAGAGAAATCTACATATATCTCTAGAGGCACATAAGAATCACTTGTGGAGCTTTTAAAAAATACCATGGCCAGGCTAGATTTTAGCACAATTAAATCAGAATTGGGGGATAATGGGGTTTAAGCCTTTTAACCAACAGTTATAGAGTGGAATTGGATTTAAGTGCCTCTAAATCTCCTAGAGCTCTTTGAGGAAAAAGTTGAAGTAGCTTTTTTTTTCAACTTCATTGCTACTTTTTTTTTTCTTTCAGCTCTTCTCCATGGCTTAACTACTCTTTTTTCAATTTTAGAGGCAAAAATTGAATTGGTGAAGATTGAAAACAGTGATGATCCTTTGATTCAAGAGATATTGGTAGAATGAGATAAAAACAACTTTTTACTGAAATGAGGGGACTTGACAGTAGAAACTAATTATTTATTTTGAGGATACTAAACAATCCAGAAGCATGAAGTTATGTACCATTTAAAAATAATCTTTGAATTTTTGGAAGTCATTAAAAGGCACTTGTCTACCTTCTGCAATGTGAGGATGCAAGAAGGCGGCCCTTACCAGACACTAAATTCCAGGACTTAATCTTAGACTTCCCAGCCTCCAGAACTGTGAGAAATAAATTTTTATTGTTTATAAATTACCCAGGCTGTGGCATTTTGTTATAGTAACACAAACGTACTATGACAGGTGCTTACTCCAATTATGTCATCTTGACATTTAAGCTTAATTATTTTGTTTGATTGCAAAAACTGTCTATACTCAAGCTCCATCACCTGATTTAATATTTGTGTTTTGAGTGGGGTGCTTTTTTTAGAGAAATAGGTTAGGATGGTGGTTCTCAAACTTCAGTGTCCATTGGGATCAGCTGGAGGTCTTAGTAAAACACAGAGTGCTGGGCCCCACTCTCAGAGTTTCTGATTCAGTAGGTTTGGGGTGGAACCTGAGAATCTGCATTTTTAACCAGTTCCCAGGTGAGGCTGATGTTGCTGTTCTGGGGTCCACACTTTAGGCCATTTTACTCCTTGGCCCCTCTCAAATGCCCTCTAAGGGGCCAAACTAGCTCCACATATTCTTCAAAAACTCGGCCTGCTTTTCTCTCCTGTAGTCATCCATTCTGTCCTTAGGACCACAAGCCTGGCTTATACATTTAGTAGTTTCCCTAAGGTTTGCTCCTTTCTCCCAACCCCTAGCCTTGTTGGCTCAGAAACCAAGTATTCACTTAGTTCCTTTTGTTTTAAGAATAATAGAGGATAATAAAATCAAACATGAAAAAAATTAAAATGGAGAAGTTAAAGTGGCAAATTCTTTTAAGTTCTAATATTGACAAGAACCTATAGTGTCTGATTCCCTTTGGAGGTAGTTACTTTCTTGAGAGCTTTACCTGGCACTCCTAAATTGTATAGGCTTTCCTAACCATCCTCAATGCACACTGCTCCCATAAAAATACCTTAGACAGGGCCGAGCCCGTGGCGCACTCGGGAGCGCAGCAGCGCTCCCGCTGCGGGTTTGGATCCTATATAGGGATGGCCGTCGGTGCACTCACTGGCTGAGCGCGGTGCGGCTGGTCTCAAAAAGGACAAAAAAAATACCTTAGACATAATTTTATCATTGTGTTTATCATGCTGTTTTGTTTTTTCTGTTTATCTTGTCCACTAGACTGAGTTCATCTTGTCCTCACCTCTTTTTTTTTTTTTTTTTTTTTTTTTTTTTTTTTTTTTTTTTATAAGATCTCTTTGTTGGTATTGTTCTGAAATTTTACGATCATATACTTTGGTGTGGTTCTACTTTTGTTCACTGGGTTTGGCACTTAGTGTGCCCTTTCAATTTGAAATTTTGTTATTTTTATTATTTAGGTTTTTTAATTAAAAAGGTAGTAAATGCACATGGTTAAAAAATATCAACCAATATGCGAAGATATATAATGAAAAATAAATCTATTTCTCACACCAGTCCTGTCCCGAGACAATAGCCTCTCTCTTTCCATTCTCCTTGGTGCAAATTATTAAAAGTAGCTTTTTGAAAATTGTTGAGACTATCCTAATATATAATTATGGTAATATACATACATACTTAAATAATAACACTGGGTTTTGTTGCTGGATTAATATTGTCTCTGCTTATGTAATTTTGGCAATATATTACATATTCTTTAAAGTAATATAACCAAACTAGGGAACTTCTACATACTACAGCATTCACTTGATATTAGTATTTCCCTTAGTGTCTTTTATTTCTTTTTGACATTTTGTCATTTATTCTGTGCTACTTCTGTGAATAAAGTATTCATATGGTATTTGCATGGGAAATAATGGTTTAGTTATTGATTAATGAATAACTGATGAGCTCAACTCAAAAGAAGTATACTTAGTAATATTCAGCAAATGTTTACTGAATACCTGCAGGGCTGAAACAAGATTAATGACACTACTAATTATTTGTTTTCTTTTGGCGTGCCTTTCACTCTTGTGTATGAATTTTGCGACTGTTTCATCTTTTTCAGATTGTTGAAAATTAATAGTCTTATTTAACTTATCTCTAGATTATTTAAGCCTCATTTTGCAAAAACCACAAAGCCATTTCTTTTAAATGTGTATTTTTTGTTGTTTTTTTATACCATACGATGGCAGTGTTAGACAGTGTTACTAATCTCTGAAGATTAGTAAGGTGGTTGATGGTGTGTAAATGTAACATGAGTATGCATGCGTGTTAGGAAAATATCTATTGAATATAAAGTCTTGCATTTGCTAAGAAAAAATAGTGGATATAATGTACCAAAAATTTACTTGATTATACAGATTGCCAGATTTTAAGTGACATGGGATAATCAGCTTCATTGTTTCCTAAACTGAAAATATAGGTGTATGATTATTTGGTAGACACTGGAGGGAAGTAATATTTTTCTTTTGTTAACAAATTCCTTCTAATGGACCATATTATTTTGCTTAAGAGGAAGGATTGTTTATCATTGTTTTTTCTTAGACATTGTAGTTATTCTATGAAAGCTCTTTCTTACTATTAATTTTCCTTATAGTAGGATTTATTAAAAGGTTTTGAAGCAATACTATAGTAACTTTATTTTCTATTAATTAAATATTAAATTCTACATTGAGATATGAGTTATTGGAAATAAAGAATATGACTAAAGGCATCCTCACCAGTAATGTATAGAAATCATGTATACCATTTTTACATATTATCAAGAATTTTAAAAATGACTTTGTAGTATAACTATTTGTTTCATATAACTTTTCTTTTGGCAGATGATGAACCTAGCCCTAGTGACTCTGTAACTGAGACTGCCATGACACTACCAAGTGAATCCAGAGTCAATATGCATGCCATCATCACGTTAAAAATATTAGACTATAGGTATGTAATTTATTTTTTTAAACATTGCCAAATACGTAGAAAACTATGTGGGGAAAAAACCCTTCAGAAAAAGGACAATTAGGAAGAATTCATCAGCATACTTGACTTAGAATAACAGCAACTGTAAAAACAATGATGAAATAAAAACCTATTAAATGTATAATGAAATTAAATGCCCATTCCTTATGTGATTTGTGTTTATTATGCTTAAGAGATAGATAGATGGTTTTCTTAATAGTAATATTTTTATAATAAGAATATTTTATTACAAAAAAATAAAACAATGACAGTATTGGTAGTAAAGTTCTCTGACTCAGTAAGCAGCAGCTAGAAAGAATTTTATATTGGTGGTAGGGGAGACTGTCTATGTTAGTAAATAAGAAACCAGTATCATTTAGTTAATAAAAACCTTGACTAGCAGGCAAAGCTTGAGAGGTTGTACCCTGCTAATTTATCTGAATACAAGTCAAATGATATATCATAATAATAATGTGTCCTGGTAGCCCATATATTAAAACTGAACCAATTTGCAATGTTAGAATATAAACTGAGACAAAGTCCTAAAATTAAACTGGAGAAAGAAAATATCTATGCAAAGTTTGAGGGTGGTTGTCAAGTATTCTTTCCGTGTTGTTGAAGGCAACAATAATAAAAATAGATGCTACTGTCAAAGATCTTGCAGTGATTGGTTCATGTATAGGTATTGTGGTGAAAATACAAAAGAATACAGACTCAAGTCAGATAGGTGACTAGATGTATTCAAGAATCTACAGTAAATAATTTATATGGCTTAAAAAAAAAGAAAGAATCTACACAGCCATCATCACAATGTCTGTCCTCTTATCCTTAATGTGTCAATAGGAACCACCTTCTCAGCAGTCAGCATACAGTCTCCATTTCAAATTTATTGTGTTTTATTCACATTGTTCTCAACTCTTGCCTGCTACTCCTTGTTGTCTGTAGAAATCACTACTCTAGACCAAGTTCCTTTTGCCACACTAACACAGGTAGTACTTCTCTGTACTTATATTTTTGTCTCTCTTCTTGCAGAGCATGGCAACTTAACATTTCATATCTTCCATATAATTTACCTATTTATTCAGTAGATATTTGGGAAGTCAGTACTAAGTATGTCTCATGTCAGATTCTATGCTAGGTGTTATAAATACGCTGATTGATAAAGACGGGTTTTATTCCTGCCTTAGAATTTCTCAGCTTAGAATTTATTTTTTCTAGCTTCCATTCTTTCCACCCTAAGTGGAGACAATTTATTGAGTCCCTATTCTATGCTGGGCATTGTAATAGGTACTTTACATATGCTGTTATTTTTAATCATGCAGACAATCTGTAAAGTAGTGTTGATCCAGTTTTACTTGGGATAACAATTCCCACTTTTTTAAAGTGCAGATATCATAAAAGCATAATAAAGATATACTTAGGTTGCTTTGATTCTAAATTTACTGTAATTTGTTTTTTCTCAGAGACTTTAATTGGAAAGGAGTGTCCTATTTAAAATATAAATTAATTCTCAATGTCAAGGCAAAAATGCTTTCAGCTAAAGTTTTTGAAATACCATGAGTCTTCCAACTTTGATTAGCATAAATCAGTTCCCCATGACTTGAGCATTTCTGATCAAAAAGTTGAAAATGCTGCATCTGCACAGAAAAAAATGGGGCCCTAAGGCAGAAGTAGAAGGCGTAATAACTGAAACTTAGTCAATTTTTTTACTTCTCTTAATTCTTTCTTAACACAATTCTCCCAAAGTACACATCATATGTAATGTTGTTTTCTTGTTTGTACAGTCATTCACTTGGCATTTCATGGAAGTTTCTTTTAAGTTGGTAACTTTGTGTTAGGCATTAATAATTGTAAGAAAAAGAATGTAAGGATAATGGCTATTTTTTTTTTTTTTTTTTTTTTTTTTTTTGTCCAGTACAGGAATCAAACCCTGGACCTTGGTGTCATCAGCACCACACTCTAACCAATTGACCTAACTGGCCAGCCTGGGATAATGGCTGATTATGACATCAACAGAGTGTTAAATTTGCAAATGTTGAGTTCTATACTTCCATTTAAGAATAAGTTTATATTTTATTGAAAATCTTACTGAAAATTTTAATAAAAAGGAAACTTATTTGTATCTACATTTGCAAAAGATGTGGCATAAATAACAATGAATAGCGCTTCAGATTCTAATTTTACAGACCTCTGAGGTTCAGGGAAAGTAAATTACAAATCTCAAAATTACAATATGGTAGAACAAGGAATAGTTTAGTCTCAGACTACTATTCTGTCAACCTTGTCACATGCTAAAGTAGAGAGAAATTGGTCTGGGTTAGTAAACTAAAACTAGTAACTAAAATTTTAGTTTAATTACTAAACTAAAATTAGTTTAGTATAATGTTGAACTTTTAAAAATGATTATTATCTTGTAGTAAACTGTATACCCAAAGTAAGTTGACAGATAATCCCTTTTATAGATTTTTTAAGAAAAAACAGCTAGCTTTTAAAATTATAAATTTAGTTCTACTCAAAGGTAGAGGAATGTGCTATCTCCATTTACTGTATGACTTCTAGATATCTTAGACTCTGAAGATACATCTCTGTTTTTATTCACATTGTGTATATGAATGCCCAGAACGTATGTCACAGTGTGTTGTAAGACGGTATGTTGTTTGCACTCCTAACAGTGAATGTTTTGTGGATTGGCAGATTTTTGTGGCATTCTTGACAAACTTAAAACTGCCTTGAAAAATTTTATAAAATCTTTAAAAGCCTTTGAAAACAAAGAGTAATAATCATACCTTTTTGGACTGCTAAGAATGATTCATTTTTTAAACCATTTTTCATTTAGTGATAAACAAACAGCTTTGATTCCTGATGAAGTGTTTGATGCTGTAAAAAGCAACATCATCACTTCTATTAACTTCAGTAAGAATCAGCTGTGTGAAATTCCGAAAAGGTAAGAACTGTTGATGATGCCATTTTGACTAAGCTGGGACTCATTCTCAGTTGTATTCGCATTTTTAGTTGCAACAAAAATTGTTATTCATGGTTTTTTAATATGAAAGTATATAAAAAAATTCTTGTATTATTAATATTAAGGGGTTTAGAGAAATGTTGTTAAGTATTTCCTGAGACACTTTTATCCTTTGTTCTGAGAGGTATATAGGCTTTTTTAAGACTTTGTTTCTTTTTCTTTTACATTTTAAACTTGGAAAAGAGGTATTAGAATTATTAAGGAATAATAGTATTCATTTATAAGAGTTAAATGACATAATTCTCATAAAATATTTAAATATTGGGGAGTCCTGGATCAAACTAGTTAATTGCAAATAAAGATCGAGTGATTTAAGAGACATCACATTATTTACTTTCTCATTTTATCCCACAACCTGGTCCTTCTTATGCAAAACAGTATGTTATTCTGTTACCACACTGTTGTCTCACATTTTTAGCAACTTAGAAAGACAAAGACGAAAGATAGTAAAGACATACCTTTGCTCTAGAGTTTTCTTTTTTCTTTTCTTTTTTTTTTTTTTGGTGGCTGGCCAGAACAAGAATCTGAACTCTTGACCCTGGGGTTATAACACTGCACTCCAACCAGCTGAGCTAACCAGCCAGCTCTCTAGAAAGTTTCTAAACTACTTTCTCTCATTCTTAAATTTTTAATTCACAATTCATACTTTTCACCATATTTTCTCATTATAAAAATAATATGTATTCATAAAATTTGGGGTTGAATGAAGGGCCATATCAGTTACAATCCCATCAATGATTTATTCTGTTAATTGCATGACATATTTTATTTTAAGCTCATTCCCATTTGGAATTATACGTACAATTTGTATCTTGACTGGTTTATTTGTTGTAAGTAATTGTACATTGTAAATGATACTTTTTAAATCTTTTAAGGCCAGATTTCCAGAAAAATTACCAAGTCAAAGAGTATTACTCTTGATAAATATATCCAAAAACTTTCCAAAAAAATTTTATCAGTTACACGTACTAATTCATTTTCTCTTTCACTTCATCTTCAGCACAGCATTTGATATTTTTTCTTTGCTAATATGATAGACAAAAGATAATTTGTTATTTTAACTTTCATTTCTTGGCAAATCAAATTAATAACGTAATTAAAACTATTGTGCTTGATTAGGCTTATTTAGAAACGTTTTAAATCTTCATCTTTAAATCTTTAACTTAAGCTGATTAGTGGTGACACTTGCCAAACCTAGATACTGACTTAATGTTTTCTTATAATCATGATTAAACGTAATGATAATCTGGTTAACAAATACTATTTAAAAAGTTGCCATATCATGTTTAAAAAAAACATTGTGAAGTACCCAGATACAGATGGTATTGTTTTATGTTGCAGGATATGTATCTAACAATTTATTTTATGGATTCAAATTATTAACAGACTGAAATGTAAAAACATTGCCTACATTTGATTTTTCTCCTTTATGCCATAATTGGTTTAGATGCAAAATAAATGTATTTGTAAATTAAACTTCAACATACATTTAAGGTCAAATAGTAACTCTTAGATAATAGCAAGGCTTAAAAAAATTTTTTTTGGTCAGTTACACATCCAAAGCCATTGAAATTTTTGTGAAAAAGTAAAAACTACAGAAAATAATAATTAACAGAATTAATACAGGATTTTTTCCCCTTAGGATCTGCTTGTAGTGCTAACATTTAAAAACTATTTTTGTTTCAGGATTGCAGAACTGAAGGAAATGGTTTCTGATGTCAATCTCAGTTTTAATAAGCTTTCTTTTATATCCTTGGAGTTATGTATGCTTCAAAAATTGACTTTTTTAGATCTCAGGTATTTATTGATATTATTGCTTGACTTTAAAAAAAACCAGAAATTAAGAGAAAGACCACTATGAGTAGCAACAAAAAGAAAAGAAACTGTTTAAGGCTCTGCAGAAGTAATAGGAACTTTAAATATGTTCAAGTTGAAGTGATGGGATCAGAAGTGTCACAGTTCTTTAAAGGTAATATTATGTCTCAGGGTTAGAAAGGCATTTATTTGCTTGGGCTTTAAAATTTTATTTGTAAACTACATCTCTATTGCCTAGGCTTTTTTGTGCTTTTATAGTGTTAGTAGGTGTGTTTTTAGTTTATTTAAAGTGTATCTCCTCTTGTGTTGCTCAAACAATAGTCAAATAGCAGTAAACTAAGTTATATCTCTTTGAGGAGTTGTTCTTCCTATAGAGATGAAAATTTTTTACTTATGGGCCTAAAGCAAATCTACTAATATCCTGCTCCTATTAGATGTGGAATTGCTTCTATTTTTGAGGAACAATTACACTGGCAAAACTGTAAAACCACATTTTAATTCGCTATTAACAGAGCAGAGGGAATGAATCCATATCCCCATTGCTTCTGTCTCTACTTTTTTTTGTTCTTGTTTTCTCTGTGTGTGTGTGTGTGTGCGCGTGTGCGTGCACGCGCGTGCGCCCCCCTCTGTCTATAACCATACCTGGAAGTTTCTAATTAAAGTGACCAAAATCTGCTTTCATGTCTGCTATCAGTAAGTGTGAGACTCTCTAGAAAAAGAATAGAAGTCAGCAGTGAGTTATTGAACACAACTTAATACAGACAATAACTGGAGAAAAGTAGAAAGAAAAGAAAAAAGAATATAGGTTGCACTGTATAAAATATGACTCTTACATATTAGGCTTGACTTATGAACCCAGAGAAATAGACTGGAGAAAGTTATTTGGTTATACTAGGTAGCCATCTAGTAGAGAATAATTTTCTCACAAATATTTTCTATTATTAGTAGTTACACTGACTCTCAAATTCTTCTACCTTCTTGATAACCTTTCCTCTAAGATTGCTCCCAGAATCTTCCAACAGTAAACAATATTCTCTTTACTGCCGTGTTTCATTGTAAGTTCTAAAAAAATATGCATGGTAGGAATTGAAAGCTGACTCTCAAATTCTTCTACCTTCTTGATAACCTTTCCTCTAAGATTGCTCCCAGAATCTTCCAACAGTAAACAAGATTCTCTTTACTGCCGTGTTTCATTGTAAGTTCTAAAAAAATATGCATGGTAGGAATTGAAATTCTCAACTTAGAGTAGAAATGGACTTGCATAGTATTTATAGAATAGAAAGCTCCAAGTTTCTAAACATAGAATCTCTTTAACTCCCTGTTTCATTTTTTCCTTTAATTTTTCACTTCTTGAAGTAGAACTTCATGTCTGCATGCAAGACATATGTTTTATCACCAATAGAATATTTATTTCATGTGGTATCACAGACATGATCTAAAGGGCCCTGATTGGGAAGTATTGCTGAACCCAGTTTGAAGGAGTTGAGGAATTAGTTTAGTGTTTATTACCCTGTTCAGTCTGTTATTAAAGAGTTGGTTGTTTTATCAGTTGGTTGCATATTGGTATTATTAGGATTTGGCACATAACCAAATACTTGAGGCAGCTGACTGATTCAGAATTCTCAGGACTCAGCCTTAATGAGATCAGATCAAGGACTGACAAACTGATGTTCATAATTTTTTTTTCTGCTTAACATTTTAACTATCAATTAACTTGTAAAAATTTTCAAACTTTGTAAGTCATCTATTTTTATTTCTAATTTAGGAACAATTTTTTAAATTCCTTGCCTGAAGAAATGGAATCATTGATAAGACTACAAATGATCAATCTTTCTTTTAATAGGTAAGAGAGAGAACAGTTAATTCTAATGGTTATTCTGTGGAAAATATGTAGGTGTTTCTTACTAGAGAAAACAATATACAGATTTTATTTTCATTTAGTTCTACTTAGAATTGAAAGTGATATTGCTTTCTTGGAATTCTCACAGTTGAGGTCTAGCAGATTATTTGTTCTTTTTTGCTGTTTTGAGAAGTCTGTAGTCTAGAAGGAAAACAAATATGTAAATAATTGTAATTGATATAATGGAAGCATTGTGCATAGGAAAAGGTGTCTTCTGAGATTACCTGAAGGTAGAGGAGATAGCATTGAAACTAAGGCTTGAAAAATAGACAGACATTTGCCAGGCACACAAGGAGAGTTCATTCCAATTAGAGCAAATAGAGTGTGTTAAGGTACAGAGATGTGAGAACACGGCATGTTTGGGAAACATCACGAAGTTCAATATTCCTTGGAGCATAAAGTGAGGAGGTAGGGGAGGAGAAGTAACAGATGAGTTTGGCATGTAAGCGGTAGTTAGCCCTTTAAGAGCTTTTTATGCTAAATGAAACTTAGATTTTATTCTGCAGCTACTATTAAGATACTGCAGATAATTAAGGATAGCTAATAATAATTAGGAGCTTATTATTTGCTGGCACTGTACTAAGTACTTTGCTTGTATTATCTCCTCCTTACAGAAATCCTATATGGTAGGTTCTGTTATTATGTCCACTTAAAAATTAAGGATTAGAAGTTAAAAAACTCACCTAAGGTGTGCATAGATAGTAAATATATAGAGCTGGGATTGAGGCCAGGGGTTTGACTCCAAAAGTTGGGCCCTTAACTATGTTGTATTGTTTTCTGTGATGAAAATTGATTCTGGTAACCCAGATAATGTCTTAAGATCTTTGAATATATTCATTCAACCCTTATTCAAGTGTATACACTTAGCAATATTATTTTTCCTCATTTACAGATGAGGAAGCTAATGCAGAGTGATGTTAAAATAACTTATTTTAATTTTTGTTCTGTCTACTCCGTTATTTGTGCTTTCTCGTGTATAGGTTATGTCATTATTGTCATTATTTAAAAATATATGTACTTCTCAGATCTCTCCTAATTTTTACTTGTGAATTGACCTATCAGGTATCTATTGAGTTGTCTATTGAGCTATCAATTGCATTGTAAGTAATGTCTTTGGGGAGGTGGCAAAAGCTAGCCCTAATGTCTGTGTTAACAGGTGAGCTACATCTTTTATAATTACTTCATTCATGAGTTGGGGTGAGAGAAGAAGAGAGGCTACTTAGGGGACATTGGGTCCATCTGTATTCCTCCTTATTGGCTCTCCAGTCCCACTGGAACTTCAGAGCTACCTTGAATTTACTCTTCACTATTGCTTTTTTACACCAAGGCAGCAAAGAAAGGGCATTGTGGGGAAATGAAAAGGCCACAGCCATAAGGCTATCATTCAGCCAGCCCATCCTTGTCTTTTCTAGTCTAGGCTGCAGTTTACCTCACACTAAAACTGTGCCAGCCTCTGTCCCCTTTGGGGTAAGGATTTTGTATTTACTGGGAATATTGCTCTGAGAGCCATCAGCCTTTCCCATCTCTCTTCTGGTTCTTCAGAGTTGGTTTGGACAAGGACGCCAGCAGTCTATACTAGTTTGTCATCTTTTTACCCAAAGTGCATGCATTTTGGAAGCCTCTGTCAAAGCAAGATATAAATCCCTAATTTACCTTAATGTACTGCAGTGATTCTGTTCATAAGAAGTAAAAATGAATTAAGAAAGAATACCAACATGGAGACATTATACAGAGAGTGTCAGGAGGATTTCCTTGTCTCCTTCATGTGAACAGAAAAAATGGGAGAATTTATTCTGAACTTCTTTTGATTTTATACAATAAATAGTAACTGTTACAAGTCTGTCCACTTAAAGTGTATTTCAAAGTTTCCAAAATTAATCCATTTTCTTCATTTTCTGGAAAATTCAGATATAGGACTTATACCAAATATAAAGTAGCATACACTAAAAAAAGCATTATTTCATGATTTCAAACTTAAAGTCATCTATTTTAAGGAACAAATTTGACCTCAGGTTCTAGTATATTTAGATGTTCTACTCGTGTATTAATAGGTTCAAAATGCTACCTGAAGTTCTGTATCGTATCCCCACACTTGAAACAATTCTGATTAGTAACAATCAGGTTGGATCTCTGGACCCTCTGAAAATGAAGACAATGGAAAATCTGACCACATTGGACCTTCAAAATAATGACCTACTACAAATTCCACCAGAGCTTGGCAATTGTGTGAACTTAAGGTAACTACACTATTCAGTTGAATTTTAAAAATTTATTTGATGGATTTGTTGAAGTGATTATTTTTTTCTTGTTGAGATAATATTGCAGGAAGTTGAAAAACAGATTTAATGTTCTGTTAAAAATAACAGGTAATGAAATCAAGAATCTAAATTTTGTTTTTTAAATTTTACCAAATATATTGTTTAGCTTTGTTTATATGGTATAATATATGTACAAATATAGTGGTACTTTTCTCGTCATTGTGTGTGTTTATAACCTGAAACTCTGTTGCATTAAAATGTGAGGGAAATATAAACTCCTTAGCTTTGCATATAGAATTTTTTCAAAATCTGATTATAGACTACCACCATTCTATTTCAAGCCCAGCATGATTTTTCTCAGTCTTTACGTTTGTTTTTCCCTCAGCCTCAGATGTCTTTACCGTGCTTTCATCAATAATCAACTTAAATATACCTTTGAAAATTTTCCCTGTTCTCTAAACAGAATTAATCCCTACTCTGATTTCCCATCATGCATTTTTGGATTCATTTTACCAGTTTTTTTTTTCCTTCTTTAGAAAAGAGTTGTCCCAGTGTCTAGAACATAGTAAACACCCAGTAAGTGCTTGTTAAGTGAATATAAAGAGAGTTTGAGATGTCAAGGGAAAGCCAACTAATTAAGCAGAATGTGTCAGAAGTAATTTAATTATTGAAAACTGCATATTAATGGTTTGGCATATTTTACTGCGACAGCACTGGCATCTGCTCTGGTACCTCATATTAGTAAACTCTTGGAGACAAATACAGTTGATTCTCATTATTTACAGTAGTTATGTTCTATAACGTTGCTGTGAACATTGAATTAGCGAAAAATGAGCCATCGCGCCTAGGGGAAGTACAGGGTTAAGTTCCTGCAATAGAGCCTGGTGACATTTTCATCAACCAATCAATACATAACCTTGTTTTATGTGTGCTTTTGTATAAAAACACCTCATTTAATATTATTGTTGATTCATCAACATTGAAATCATGGCCCAGAGCACTATAATTCATGCCTGAACAAAGCTTACCTAACAAATGTATTTGCTCCATAAGACAAATTTGTGCTTAGGAAAACTGGATAGCACATCAGCACTATACTTTAATGGGTGCCATTTTAAACAGTGAAATCACCAACAAAAACTATGAAAATTCGAAAAACCTGGCAGCAAATGGACCACAAAAAGCGTATTTGTTTACAGTATGAGAGCTGAAACGTTACCTCACCCAGAAACATACCCATCAGGCGACTCAAGTTTTTTGCTGTCCTGTGCATGTCCATCAATTACTTTGGAAGTGCCACACATAGTAATTTTGGGGTTACAAATTAGTTTTAGTGAGTAGGCAAGTTCACAATATGGAATCCTCAAATAATGAGAATTGACTATAATAAACTCCTTTTTCTAGAAATCAAGAAAATAAGTCTTTAAAAGAATTTCCAAGAAATAGAGAAATATTTGAAGATATAATTTAAATCAACTGTATAATGTGGTGTGAGTTCTTTGACTTCTGTTTACATAAATACTTAAGCTATTAAAAATTAATATAAAAGTCACTTCTAATTGAAGATATTTTCTTAATTATATACGGAAACAAAACAACAGCCCTTAAATCTTAAATTGAACTTTATTTCAGAACACATAAACATATATATATGTATATATACATATGTGTATTTGGTCAAGGGAGAGGGAGGGCAGATATGTGTTAATGTTTTGGGGGGAAGCAAGACGGGTGATATATTGATCACATTATAGTTCTTGGCTTGGCTACCTGTCAGTTTGCATATAGTATTTGTCTGAATCTAATTTGGCTATTTAGTATATGGTCGTTATAAGATTGAGGTGAGGCTAGATAGAATGGTAGTTCAAATCACAGCTCCACCATTTAGTAGCTGGTGGAGGGCTTTTTTACCTCCCTAAACTTATGTTTCCTCATCTATAAAACAGGAATATGAATAATATGTACCTCATAAGATTGTTAAGAGAATTGAGTCAGTGAATGTACATTACTTAGCACAGTATCTTTCACATAATAAATGTTCAACTAATGTTGTTTTGGTTATTATTATAGTTATACAATTCCACTGTTTAAATGCTCAGATTTGAAATGGGACAAATAAAAAAAAATACACAAGTTTTATTTATAAAATTGCAAATGAAATTAGAAGAAAACCTTTGTTTATGAAAAATGTTTAAGTTCTCAATTTCTCTCTTTTGTTTAGAACGTTACTACTAGATGGAAATCCATTCCGTGTCCCTCGAGCAGCCATATTAGTGAAAGGAACAGCTGCTATACTGGAATATTTGAGAGACCGAATTCCTACTTGAGTTGTTTTATATTCCTGGTCTTGTTCATTCTTAGAAGGATATAACATTATTTTAGTATCATCCTAAAGATGGTTGCTATAATTGATCTTATAGCTTCCCAGTATCATCGAGCCATTGATATAATTTGCCTGGGCCATCATCACTACCACCAAATATTTCTACATTGACAACTTTTAACATTTTTCAAGGCATTGGGTACATTTATAATGGTGATAATCACATATAGTGTTCATACATTTGTTTTGAATGTGTTGCAGCGGATTTATTCCACTCACTTTGATTCACTTCTAACATAGCAAACAATTTCTTTAAAAGTAAATTTTTATTTAATGTGCTTTAATATTTTTATAATAACAGAGCCTTTTTGTAGAACTGGGTTTTCTGTTTCCCCTTGTTTCTTTTTGTATTCCATAAAATGTGATCAATTGACTCGTCTATGACTATTCAATTTCTATCTTTTTATTAGATATAAAATTGAATTGAATGTTGTTGAATACTATTTGGCATTTAAAAAAAATAAGACTTTTCATTACCCACGATAGGACTTTTGTAATGTGGTTGCTCTCAGTACATGCTTTAAAGTAACGTTCACTGTTTTGCTTTTGTTTAAATCTAGTAGAAATATTTCTTTTCTATTAGGTGGGTCTTTTCCTCCATTTTATAAAATCATTTCTTTAGGGTTGCTATGGCACAGAAATACTATTCTAGATATAATTGTTGGAGAAAATAGGGAAAGTGTTGTTATAACTGCTCTCACAATTTTGAATTTCAAACTTGACAATTTTTTAAAAATGATGTCTTGGTATTGTTTCCATATGATAATCTACTACTTTTAGATTCAAAAGAATTAAAGATATTGAATCTCCATATTTTCCCCTTAGTGAGTGTTTGTATTTAAAAATGCCTTTTGTTCCTTAAAAAAAGTATTGAAACCCTTATCTTATTAATTCCATAGATAACAGCAACAGAAAGCAACTAATAACATATACCATATAGAAATATTTAAATATACTTTGTATGTACATTTATTAAGCAGATATTTGTATACCTAATCTACTCTTTGGGTGTGTTTTAATCCAACCTCGTGCATCTTTTTATTTCCAGCACCTTAATTTTAAAATTTGCTTCTAAACTTGCAGTCATGTAGTAATTTTCTAAAAGGAAATTTGATGAAGAAAAACTTCATTTAATAAAAACCAAATATAAATGTTTTTGTTTACACCAGAATTATCAGAAGTAGGTTGATCAGTCATTATAACATTTAGCATATGATTCTAGTAGGTAGCCCATTCAGTAGCATGTATATCAATTTATATAGATAGGTAGGTAGATAGTTTTTTGGATGACTGAGGCATGCTTATATTATGAAAAAAAATCATTAATAAAGATATATACTATATGTTCATAATAAAAGTTACATTTTCAAATACGGACTAGACTTTTTGTTTTAAAAGAAACATGTCCTTCTTATATCACAACTCTGTTACTGAGTAATGCTTTGATAGTGAACAAAAGACACTTTACAATAGGTGACATTTTATTATTTATACAATAAAGAGACTTTTATGTTATTCAAAACACTTTTTTTAAATACTGAAAAAGTTGAGTACATCAAAGCCGAAAAATGGCTCTGCTATACACTGCACAGCATTATTTTAGTCCCTGTATTTTGTAATCTGTACAGAAAGCATCTTCAAAATGCATTCTAATCACATTGTACACCTTTACCGATTCGAGTCAATACATAAAACTGGAGAATACAACTTGCATTTGCAAATTAACTGACAAAGTAATTAATTTCACAGATTCAGTAAATTTAAAATATAGATTCATAGGACTTTTTTACACGTAAAATGAAGCAGCTTTCAAGGTTGTTATGGTCTCATACTGCAAAAAAACCCATTAAGTACACTCACAATCTATGTTAATAAAGTAGTAAATATGTCTTCATTCTGTTTTATTTACATCAATATGTAGTTCAACTAAAAAGTACTGTTAATTGTGATACAGTATTCCTTTTTAACACATAAAAAAACAATTTTTATATATAATTTAAGCTCAAAATCACAATTATCTCAAAATATTAATTACAATACAGCCATTTCAATTAAACATGTTATGATTTAATTTTTTTAAAAAATGGTAAAATTTTTTTTATTAAAGTAAGCAATTTGTTTCGAATTGGCTAGAGTACACCCAAGTAGAAAACCTTAAATGTTAACAGGTGTTTCCTGCCCCCTCCCACCCAAATTTGTATACAACCACCTAGGCTAGCAAAGAGACAGAAAAGGCCCCAATTTATAAAGATTAAGCCTCTTTTGCTATACTGCTGTGGCTTGTTGGTTCTTTCATAAAAGCTTTACAAGGGGAGTGTCAATAAACTATGCAGTGAAATGCATGCATTAATATACAACATGTCTATGTAAAATGTCAGTGTTTACTAATGCACATTAAAATGTTCACAGACCTGCAAAAGAATTTATAAATGAAGAAGCACTTTATCTACCAATTGCATATTGCAAATCTGAAAACTGCTTGATAATATAATGGAATTTCTTTGAAGTCAGATCCCAATTCAAGGTTTTTTCTCTGGCCAAAGGAGCTCTGGTTACTTGGCCTTAAGATGTCACTGTTGTGCTGCACATATGGTAGTGAAGTCAGATATCATAAAGTCCAGAAACTGTCTTCATTTTACTAAAGTAATGACCCAAATTTGCATAACTGCTTAGGAATTTTTCTTAAACTTACAGAAGAGTGAAATATTTCACTAACCTAATTATAACACTCAAATGAAAAATGGAAAATTTGTGTGTGTATGTGATTGGCATATGGGAAAATATTAATTTATGTAGGTGGAATTAGAACTTCTTTATAGAGTAATAAAAGGATTATGCCCCAAAATAACTGAGGTCAAAAGTAATCAGTTATCAAATAGTCTACAAAATGAAAAAGTAATTTTCATGGGTACTTAAAAAAACCCCTAAAGACATAGTATCTAGTATCTTTTTACTTACAATTCTTAACCAACCAATTGAAAACCTACTACTGTCTTTTTTTTTTAATTGCTTCTGTTACTTTAATATTTCCTCTCTGAATAGGAGACCATAGTTCATATTATTGTTTACTTGGGTTGGGGTGCTCTTAGGTGGTTATAAAGTGGCAAAAATAAAACTATAGTACTTGCAATAATGTACAGTCACCTTGCAATAACCTTAATTTTTCAAGATCATATGTGATGGTCTTTAAAATTTACAAACAGAATTCATTAGCTTTACCTCTGATTTTCCACTAAACTTGGAAAAAATTCCTCCTTCATATGAAGACAATGTCATTATCCTTAAGCTTCCTTTAGTCCTCTATACACTAAGTACGAAGAGAAACTTGATTGGCTCTTCAAACAAAAAATATCTAGTGTATCTGCCTATCATTTATCTTTCTCTTCTGTTCATTTAAAACAGATAATAATAAGGGTAGAATTTTGAAGGAGGAAAATGTAGTTGAGGATATTAAAGAGAAATGCTAAAATATCATAAAGCAGAAGTATTAAGCATTTATTGCATTCCATAGACACTAGGTGTCATCAAAGCTAAAGCCAAATTTCCTCAAGTAAAACTTAACATACAGCACCCCTTACTGACCTGAATCAGTTGCCTTTTCCACATTCAAGACCAATAAGAGTGACTGGAAAGACCCTATAAGTATTGAAAATAAAATTTATTTCAACAGTACGTTCTGAAAATAATTTACCTTTCTAGCAAATATGGGAAGTGCTTTAGAGTTCCTGAGAGTTTCATCGTGGTTTTTTATGGACTCTCCAAAAAATTACATAAGATTTCCTGACTAAGTAAGGAAGATTCTGTAGTAGACAGCTGGGGAAAGGTGAGAGGGACAGAGAGATACAAAGAAATACAATGTGATTTCTTTTGTCCATTTGTCAAATGCTTTCTTTAATCTAGCTATTGTAAAGGTCAATTGACCTGCATACCTGGGCATTATTTAACCTCATTACTTTAGCTGTGCAAAACAAATGTGCAAAGAAAAACGCCTCCTATGTATGTGTGTCTATACATAGACACAAAACCTGAGTCATAATAAAAGTTTTTAATGTAAGAAAAGTTTTCTTAATGTAGGAAAATAACCTTTAAAAAGCCAAAAATACCTTTGTACAATATAAGCAGCTAACTTTAAAACTTCAGTGTGCTTAAGTATTACATATTTTATAAGACCCAGCAAAAAGGGATCATTTGATAATTTTCTTAACTGTAGCGAGATAACCACATTTTTATTTCTAACATCTATTTCCATTCCCTTGAATTCATTAATTCTTCTAAACACACACACACACACACACACACACAAAGTCCTGTTTAGTTTCTGACAAAGAGTTTCTGCTTGTTTCTAAATATTGAGGACATAGGAGATTTGGGGTGGTAGGCATATAACTTAGTGCCATGCCACAATGGAATTCTAAAGTTCAAAACAAAATCTGTTTAGTTTCTGACAAAGAGTTTCTGCTTGTTTCTAAATATTGAGGACATAGGAGATTTGGGGGTGGTAGGCATATAACTTAGTGCCATGCCACAATGGAATTCTAAAGTTCAAAACAAAATATATAGTCTATTATTAAGAGAACCATTACTTGCAAAAAATATTTTGTAGACAGTCAGGCCAAAATCTACATGAAGGTTCTCTCATTTGCAAGCTCCCTTTCTGTTGTGTTAATTAACTCTTTAAAAAATCCCTTCTTTCTCCATGCTCCATTTCCTTAGCTTTCATTAGATTTCTTACCTTTTTCATACTTGAACACTGAATTGTTCCAGCTGAAGCTTCCTTACTCACATGCAGCCACCAGTTACAGTGTCCTCTTTCCTTATGTATATCTTTCTTATTATCTCTTCCTCTTCTTAAGGAGCTCCGTACTCTGGGATGACTCCTTGGCCTCCCCTTCTGTGCCACTTAACTACTCATTAGGAGAAAATCTGCTTCAGTGTCCCCACTGTCTTAAAACTAGACACTGATTTAAGGCTCAATTCAGGACATACATATTTCCCTGTGCTACATCTCAGATGCATACTGAGAAAATTTTATAGAAAAATGAATAGAAGTTGCTTCTCTATGCTGCCCTAAGCAGTCGTTTGTTGTCATTAATTATGCATTCATGTCAGTTAAGTCACTGACACTTAGGGAGAATGGAAGCCATCTGAACCAAAAGGTTCAGTCCTTGCATTTGTGGTTGGATAGGAGGGCTCTTGAATACTTGAATGGATTCTGGGCAGTGTCCTTGAATGCTGTCTTTTTTTCTTGGGCCAGAGAGCCTGGTTTGGGGATAGGGTGGGGAATGCATGCAGGGAGGTAATGAATTAGAGGCATCAGCCAAGGGAACTGTAGTCTCTTCTTGCCTTTTTATATGATACTTGCCGAAGGATCACTAGAGGTATTTTTTATTGTGCGGAAGGCTAAAAGCAGAGTCACACTTTCTCTGCCAACAGACTTGTTGCCATGGGAACCAATGCAGCAAAATAAAAATATGACAAGAAGCTAAGGATTAAATGTGGAGAAAATTGATAGAGAGTTGGTTTCTACATGGCAATTTGAACATTTGGGATTTAAAGAAACAGGATGTTCTTCCTGTGGCCAGATCAATGAAAATGAACAAAATGACTTGCCAGTAGCTGGTCCTGGGAGGCTGAGATGTGAGGAATGCAGAGAGAAAATAGTAAAATTGATGTCATTTGAATAAGGGAACTCTGTAAAATCTAGTTCCATCCCTGATGAGATTGAGCTCTTCAGCCCAAATGTTAAATTAGCCATATGATCAAATGTGCCCTTTGGAAAGGCATGTCCATGCTTAGGCTGATAAACAAAAACAGCCTGCTATAACAGTCCTCTTCTCACCTTTCCAAAGCCAGCACACTCTACCTGATAAGATTATTGCACACCTAGTATATTATTGCTTGAAGCATCTTTCCAAATATTCAAAAACAAAAACACACCACAATCTGCAAATCTATGGCTCGCCTCCCCTAATAAGGCAGCTGTTGTCAAGTAACCTAGAATTCAGTTTCTCATTAAGAATTATTTTACTTCTGCTGATACAAGTCGTCCCTGTGTACCCTCATGTGTCATTCTGGACTTTAGAATAAACCGCTCAAACCAGACTGTAGGACTCCAGGGAAATCTTTAATAAGGACTTGGAGTTGCAGCCTAATCTGAGAAAGACAGACCTATATGTTGTACTTTCAGAGGCTCCTGGGAGACTGCACCTACCCTGTCCCCCAAGCTTTCCCCAAGACTGAAATCTTACAATTTATGCCCCATTCCTATGATTTCAGCCCTGGCCTATAATGAAATGCAATTGCCCTGACGAGATGGGGGAAGGTCACACTGTAATTGACTTTATTTTACCCTTCTTGTAGAGCTGGTTTTCAA